ATTTTCTGTTTCCTTTTTTATTCTGTGATTTTCGTACTTCTTATTCTTATACGAGCTACTGCTTTCTCTGTCACTCGAGTATCTGGATCTATCCCGTAGAACGTCACGTTCTCCACGCCTATATCTCGTTTTCCCGTCACTTTCCTCGCTCTCGTGGTTTTTCTTTAATCTCTCGTTTTTGTATCGGCTATCGTATATATAATCATCATGCTTCTTTTCTCTATATGTCCTACTGGATCTTTCACGTAAACGATGACTACTCGAACTCTCATAATCGCTCCTGCTTCTAGAGTAGCTTCTTCTTCTAGGCGGACTGTGTCTGTGACTATACTCATTCTTCTTATAACCATTATTAAATCTTTCTGAAACATAATTTGACGTCCGAGAATTTCTTAAACTATCAACAAGATCGTTCTTGACATTGGAACTGTCGTGATCCTTTGTTGAATTATTTTTCGAGTCACTTCTCCATCCATTTGCACAACTTCGATCCTGTTTCGTGTCTCGATACTCGGAAGAGGCTCTACGTCCAGTACAAAATGGAACTTCTTCCTTTTTAAAAGAATGTCCTGCATTCGGCCGATTTTCGAATTTTACGGGACCATCTTTGTTCTCGTATTGCGCAGAATTGTCTGTTACAGGATACTGTGTAAGGTAATTGTAATCGGTTTCTTCGGTCGTAGTTTTATCTTCATTATTTTCCATTTTTAAACGCTTATGTCTGCGCGTATCATCCTCTTCATTCGTCCTTTTCTTTTTGTACGATTCTCTGTCGGGGGGTTCTGCAACAAAATTATTTTGTAATAAATTATTATATTTTCAAACTAACGAGTCTATTACTCGTGTTTTACTTGATATCTAAGTATAAATTCTAAAATTTGTATACTTTCTTCAAGATACAGACAGAGATAAATAGTAACAAATAGATATAACAAGTACGATATGTATTTTAATATAAAGGTATAAAGAATTTTTTAATGTTAGATAAAAAGTTACATAACAATTAAAAAACTGTTTTATAATTCTATACAAGCTTACACGATATATGTATATAATCGCATAAAAAGTAAAGTTTACGCTACCTGAATTAGAACATCGTTCAATATTAGATTCATTGTTGTCGTTTGTACCGAATTGAGATCCAATCTCCTTATCGTTTTCCACAACGTTGTTTTCAGGAATATCTGCTGATTTAACTTCCACGCCAAGCTTTAACATTTCCTTTTGCTTTTTCTCCTCCTCTTCACTCTCCATAAGTCTTTTTTGTAATCTTTCCCCAAACAATGTGGGTATCCGGTTAACATCAGTCTGTGGCTTCCTACTTTTATACTCGTCGTGATGGAATTGAATTTCATGCGATTCAGTTTCACTTTCTTGTGAATGCGTCGAGGGAACATTTTCATACTTCGCAGTATGTTGATGCGGTAATCTATGAGTAGAAGAACCTGAAGCTTCACTTCTGTTGCTCCTTCTAAAGGTTACATCGTCCAACCTGTAAACATTTTGATAACGTTTAGAAACAGAAACGTTTGTCGATATTACGGTTTATAAAATTCGTACTGTTTCCTGAGGTCATTTATCATCTTATCCTTCCGTGAAATTTCAGCTTTTGCCGTTTTGAGCAAGGAAGACAGATTCTTCTCCAAATTTGTCTTAATCTTCTGCATATTTTCCAATTTGCTCGCGAGTGAATCAAGCTCTTTCTTCAATTCCTTGCAGTTACAATCTTGGTCCTTGATAACAATTTAAAAGCATCAACTTATTATTTCATAGATTTTACATCAGTGGCATAAGTAACTTGTTAGTAAGTAAAAACTTCTTTATTATAAATTGTTATTGCATACACAACTGACTAGATTAAATTGAAGTATCTAATCTTTGCTCATTTGAACGAAATAATTTGTAGAACGTACAGTTACGTATATAATATTTATGTACATTATAGATATTATTTTAAATTTGATATAAAATAATATTTTACGAGTTTAAAGGAATTCTTAAGTATATCTTATTGTACTTAAACTTTCGTATTTTACGTGGTTTGTAATAATAAATAAAAAAACTATTTAAAAATGCATGTTCCACGAAACAATGATAGCAAACAAACCAACAAAATGATAAAAATTTTTCTCACGTAATTAAGCAATGCGCATTTAACAAATACGATAGATTTTAACAGGAATATCGAGAACAATTCGCACAATCGAGAAATATAATTCCGAAGTGTGACAGAACACGCGAATACAATTTCATAGCGCGCGCGGGAAACACTTTATAGGTTATATCGGCACACGTGCAGGTTATGTCACTTATCGAACTAAAATTGGGAGCACAATTGCATTCTTTAACAAGTAATACAAGCACGAACTAGCCTATACTACTTCGTATCCTTTATATATTCTGTATTCTTCTAAAATCAAAGGCTATTTATCTTCGCATGCAAGGTCGCGCAACGACAAAGTCACGCTAACCAGAAATAGAATTTTCGTCGGTGACTCTCACATTTTTCACGGGATTCAAATCGAGACTCGGTAAATCCGCATAAATATCGACGTCATCCTCCATTTTCCGCGATTATCTATCATAACCAGACGGTCGTAACACCACCCCCGCGTGCCATCGCTGAAACTATCACAGGACCACACAGCTGTTTCCAGTTATTGCACTTTTTTCACGGAGCACGAACGACACTCGCTGCACCACGCCACCACGTGCAGACTGTTTCTCGTCTCGTATATACTCCGTTTCTCATCCCGTTCCTCCCTTCAATTACTTGAATTATACTCGTGGGATGATTTCGATGCCTCTGCACTTCGGATCTCTATAAACTGGAGGTTTTCTCCGCTACCACACGTTTGCCACATCCCCACGTGGCTGTGCGCAGTGCGAAACACGAACGAAAGTGTGAATTCTCCCTCGCGTCTTACCGGGCACATTTTAGTGTTGTAAGTAATAATTTGTTTGTAGATGCAGGTCGATTTTTGCAATTTACATATATTTGCCTTTTTGTATTTAGATATCTTCACGTGTGCCAGTCTTTATAGCGCAGGAACGAAATCGGCGCATGTGTCGACTCGCTGGAATTTAAAACCTAACCCAATGTTAAAATTAAGACCGAGAAACAACTCGGTTCACGGCACGTTAGATACCTTCATAAAAAAAATAAGACCGACAAACTGACGTATACTTGATCGTTCCGGTAGGGATGAAATGATATGGAAATTGGAAATCAACAATAGAAAAAAGAAGAAAAACAATTGACCATTGCGCTCGTAAATGTCAACTTATGATACGTAACGCTCGATCGCATTTCTTCACATTACGGTAACTATGTATCCTTGTTTTTTAATAATATACGTGTTACCTCATATTTCGCTATAGAAAACTCTTTTGAAAACAGATCGACGGGATTGGTAATTACGATGCGAAGTTTAGGAAGAGAAAAACAAGTGACTGAAGAAAAACACACTTTTGTTCTATAGTAAAAAACGACCACATATTTTATACGGTAAAGCAAGTATCTGGTTGCACTACATTTACAAGCAACTGCCAGCCCTAGATTAGAGATATCAGATACAAGAGGAATACAAAAAAAGGATAAAACCTTAGAGGGAAAGACTACGCTTTAAGTCTTCTTGATCGCACGAGTGAAGATGGAACCAATGGAATTTATTGCTGTACAGAACAATGATATTTGTTCTGACAATCTCGACAATCTCAGAGCCGAGAATAACTGCTTGCCCTTCGACCCTTTCGAAATGGAGGAGAGAAAGCAAGAGTTGACCGATGCGCTGAGGTACTGCGTAGACCTGTTGAAAGCTGCTCGGGTCATTTCAGATTTACGAAATAGCCATGGGACCATCTCCAGGCGTTCCCAGTGCATAGGAAAAAAAATCTATCGTAAAATTATGATTATGTTGTATTCTATGGCGGATGAGGAGAATGAGAAAAATGAAGTAGCTAAATATAAGGAAGAGCCATTATTTTATTCATTGAGAGATTCACGTGACCTGAATAGCGAAAAAAAAGAAAAAACGGACAGTACTGTTGAGAAGGTAAAATGTAATATAGATAACAAATATAATCAAATACTTTTCACATCTTTAATTATTTAATTTTTTTTAGTGTTTACAGTAATCTTTACTTTGAAGTACTTTTTAAGTTATTCATGTAAAGTTAAAACATATTTTTGGATAATACAATTTTACATTTTTATTTGATGCAACATTCTGACCTCACTATTTTTACTATTAGGACTTATTTATTTTTATATGTATTTATTACAATAGCAAAAATCATTACGTAAACACATAAATCAAATACATTGTAAACGTAAAATTTACTAAATATTTATATATTTATTTTCACATTTGTGTCAAACATTCTCGAATATTTCATGGAAAGAACTTTATCCATTTTGAGCTAATCCGGGCCCAGTCATCAATTATATATAATTTTGTAGATAATGATGTTAGCATTAAAGAAGAAATAGTTTTAGATCCTCAAACCCCCGCCGGAAGCGGTTCTGACCTAATGATGTCATTTTATACATTCTGACTCATCATCAGAGCTGTCCAAGATGACAAATATGTCATTACTGTACTCAGAAGGTATATGTATATTATCAGAAAAGTATTTAGCATATCCTAGATACTAATTTCTTTGACGCAAAAAGAAATCTTTAGAAGAGATGATGAAAACAAAAACAAGAATTGGGAGTCATGTTTAATTAAAAAAATAAAAAATCATTAATTGATTTCAAGCGTGAAAACATCATGTGTAAACAACAAAAAGAATACATCTGTACCAACATTGATGGAGTCCTAACATTGAACGGCGGGTGTGTTTTGGATATTAGCACCTATAAATTTTCAATCTTCTCGTGATGTTCTATAATTTGAAATATGTTTCATCTCTGGGCCTGGATAGCCTAGGATCCTCGTGAAAATGGGCGAAGTTCTTTACTAAGTATTTCTATATTTGTTTTCATTTCTCATGAGGGATTTCTCGAACTTTCTTTATAAAGCTGTTTGCCTGAATGTGCTTTTTTGTCATCTTATTTAATGAGCAAACTATAAATGTCTCGTTATTAGAAATCAGTTTTACAGTATGACTCAAACAGTACAGATCGAAATATGGTATAAGCAAACAGAGTAATCTTGAAAAATAAACTGAGAGTTATAATATTATTAGCTTCACAAACACCGTAGATATTTTAGTATTGTATACTACAATTTTTCGAAGTTTTTTATATTCCTAATCAATAACATAAAATATAAATTAATTAAGTGATTTCTTTATTTTTATTACGTTGTTAGATAGGAATTACTAATACATTTCAACAAAAATTGCTAGAGTCAGTATGGCTACAAATGTATGAGCTTAATCTATATCAGATGTATTTTAAGCGAAATATTTGTTGCTATTCTTATACTTATTTAGTAATTCCATTTGCTTCCAGTACAGTTATAGTCTGTTTATGTAATTACTAATTTACATTTACATTTAATACAGCGCAGTCTAAAGCGCTGTACATAATTCTGTATAAGTGGTGGCAAAAGTGTTAAGTTGCATATTTTTAGTAGTGTTGGAACAGAGGAAAGCTAATGTCTTTTCTTATCTAGGCGTTTGGTAACGTGCATTCCGCACAAATAATTTTTGAAGGAAACAGTCAGCAGTCTTCTGTAGGGAAGAGCTCCGAGGAAATCTCACTGTCTAGTTTTTCTGAGCCATTGCCATCCACATCTTTCCACGCCAGCAGTAGCAGTACGTCTCCTTCAAAGAGCGATCTTCCGTTTCAATTTTCGCAACATTCATCGATAGATGTAAACAACGAGGAGAACAGTATAGAAACTGAAGATCTTAAAGTTTCTTTAGGAGTGGATGTTGAAGACTTTCTTCATGAACGTGTTGCACAATTTGAAACAGAATTCGAAAAAACAGAAAAAACGTCAGAGCTAGAGGATGAAATCAAAGATTTGATCGAAGCTGAAGCAGCAGAAGCCATTCTGCTTAAAAAGTCAAATAAAAATATTGCTCAGCAGTTGCAAACACAGCGAGCAGTTTCCCAAGTTAAAACAGAAGATCCTCAGTCGAAAAACCCGTTGTTCATCTTATTACGAAAAAATGGACTTCTTTGCCGAGAACTCATTGACAAGCCTCACCGCAACGATTTCGTACCGGAAGGGCGCGACATCAACTTGATTGCAAAAGTTATTGCTAAGCACCTTCTTAAATTGGCTATTCCTCCAAAACGTAAAGTATTGTCGTCAACTCTCGCAAGGTGGGCGCAATATTTTAAGCGTCTTTTTCCGAAGACGCCGTTATCCTGTTTCTACGCCTTTAAATATGAGCCATATAAACGGAACGGCGTTCTAATTCAAAAGAGAAGAGCAGAGGGAGCACTGCAAGTTCAACTCTTCCAAGAAAGAAGAAAATTGATCAAAGAAGATCCAACTGTTCTGCTGAGGCGTCCAAGTGGAGATTATGTTGGTGGTGACGGAGGTTCAAGTCCTTCGAACGTAACTATCATTAGAAGTACTTGGAGACCTGTTGGTCAACAAGGAGAAAAAGTGCAGCGTTGTGGCGAAATCTCAACAACAGGTAACTTTTCTCTTATCAGTTTTTCTCATTATAAAATTAATATTACGAAATTGTATTTGTCATATTATTATTTTGTGTTTGTCATATATTTTTTTGCAATGTCTTTGTTATACATTATTGTCATATATTATTTTTCTTTGCCTTTGTATTACAATCTTTTGCAATATACATGTATACATATATGTATTGTCAAAAGAGTTGAGACAATTTCTTATAATAACAGTTTTGAATATTTCTTCATGTAAAACCTATAAAATAATAAAAGTATATTGTTAAAGAAAAATTGCAATTATTAAGAAAAAATGGTCTGAATTATGTTAACATATAATATAAAGTATAAAGTTGACATAAGTTACTCAGCGAAAAAGATACATTAATAAACATACCTTGCATTATTGTTATATAAAGTAATTAGTTTTTATTTTTTTTCAGAATGTCATCCAGAGTTACAACGTCATTTACATATTCTGTGCAATCAATTACACAAAACATTTACTCCAGAATTAGGAGTCTCCTGGAAAGCAACTTTCAACTACAGACGGAAACTACTTGTCAATCAAACGGGAACCGTTTGGGACTATTTAAATGATTTTCCATTCTTAAAAATTAACGATATTGGAAAAGATTTTGTAAGTTTTTTTATTATTTATGATCTATTCTTGTAATGCTTTTTTTTTTATTTTGACTTATTAAATACTTATCTTTTATTCGAAGCAATATTTTATCAAAATCTTTGTATATTATTTATTATGTCGTATTTTATTTCAAATTTGTCTTCATAAAATTTTTACAAAATATTTTATTAGCCAACTATGTACTTGAGATTATAAATTGTTCTTCTTATTACTTTGTCATTATAATTTAATTTTGAATTATAAAATTCTTGTTCATTTTTTATTTTACATTATTTGGATGAGAAATAATGTACAGAGTTGAATAATTTGTTGTTTTTTATATGAATATAATATTTTAATCAATTAATAATAAGTAAATGTTTTTATATGTAGATCTGTAAGGATTTCGATCAATTGTATCCCACTGCAGAATTAGGGAAGCTGGCTGCATTTCTAGATGACCATAGGCTCGCAATTATTAAAGCAACAAAAGTTATTCTTAAAAGAGCAAGCCGACAAAAGCACATAGACATAGCTACTTTATTTCTCAAGTTAGCTGAACGTAAGTCTCTTTTTTCTCTTATAAAGATTTATATATTTATTGTGAAACCATCAAAACCTAAAAGATAAACGCTACAATCTTATTAAATAATATTATGCTTCTATTATAAAAAAAATAACTTCTTTAATACAATTGAGATATAAATTTAATATATATTGGGTGATTACTCTCATATTTTCTATATTGTCATAATTTGATAGCTTCTATACTTTATTTTATATTCTTGTGTAATGAAAACGAATAATTTGTGGGCTATTATTTCTTTTCTACTTTGTAACTTTAATTCTTTTATTAGTGTTACCTCTTTTGGTACATAACATGATTAATATATTTCATTGAAACTTTATTTTTAATTAATGCAACAATCTTAAGCCTAGCCATATCGCAGATGTAAGAGTGTAGTATGTGAAATTTACATTATAGTGTTAAAATGTATAATATATTAATTAATAAATATATTATTAATAATGACTGATTGTAGCCATTTATAATATTTTCAAGTTTTACTAATGCTATGTAATATACAAAAATAGAAATTAGATAATAGCGAAATAAATAATAGAAATAAAAAAAAAAACATTAAAAGTAAAGAAATACTGTAAAACTTATCAACAGAATATTGCAGAATATCAACAGAAAATTACTATAAGAAATAGATGAAACATATACTTTTAAATAATGAAACAAATGATTTTGTTTTTTCAGGGGAATCGGATTTCCAAGTTAGAGTGACTGGAGCTCTACTCCTTCTCCCTTTCATATTTCCCAATACTTTTTTTGTGGAGAAAACGTGGAAACCAACACGATTAGATGTAATGGACTCCTTCATCGCTAGAGTTTGCAGCGAAGCGGACATTAAGGATTATATTGAGCGTCGACGTAAGTCACTGTCCCAAATAAAAACATCAAATAAGATTTCATATTGTTCTGTGCAACCATATGTTTTGGCGATAGGCCCAACTTGGGAGCGTATTAGTCACGTGCATATAATTGTAGACCAAGTTTTATATACGTGCCAAACTATAATTGGCGCGACGGAATTGTGTTTTAAATTATTTCATGCATTTCACACCGATTATCCCGCTGAAAGTAAGCATGTGTGGCAATTAATACAACAAGGTTTTTATAAATTGTTTGTCAAGGATCATGATTTACACAGACCAACAATCACCAAAACTTTAGCTGATATTGGCATTGAGTCGAATACAGAAGAAATTAAAACATTAATTGTAAGATCTAAAAGAGGTAGAAAAGTATAGTTCTGATATTTTTTAATTTTATTTAATTATATTTTTCAATTTTTCTACATTTTGTAAAAATTTTTTAGAAAGAAATTACTGATAAGAAACTGTCTTTTTCTAAAATTTTGTCTGTGTTAGTATCTCGACAAATTTTTTATTATTTTCTTTTTTTGCCACATTTGCTACATTTTCTTGGTTTTACTTAGCAAACGATTACGATGTTTTTCTTTGTTCTGTTGAATTTGATAAAATTGAAAAAATAAAATGAAAAATGTCAACAATTGAGATCTTAAATTATATTAGATATTTGTTTAATTTCTCACAAGGTAACTTTAAAAATAAAAAATTATATATTCAAATAAAGATACAAAAAATATTTTAAAAGATATTGATTATTTAAACATGAAGATTTACTTGCTTTTATTAAGCAATTAGTGGGAGAACAATATTTCATTGACTTTTATTTAAGGCTCAGAACTTATGCAAGGTGCGCATGTTCTGCGATATACAATAAACGTACATAAAAGCCGTAACATTGTAAACTGTAAACAATTAAGTATCGATCCGGGCACGAATTTACGCAAGGCGCAACACATTCTCGATACACTCTCGACATCGCATATAGATAATAGTTTGAAAATATTTGTAAATAAGGCTCATATACATTAGACCTCTTTTTTTTACTGTAAATATAGATTAATCTATAAAACAATAAAGTATTTTTATCTTGTAATATACCTGTTATAACATTGTTTATATAGTACAAAAGTTAGACCATTAACTTGTTTATCTTTGTTCAATCTTATTTGATATTTGATGTTAAATATTAATTATATAAAAAAACTTTGGTAATCATATAATTTTAATATCTAGTTATATAGGACGTAACAATGTCTTATATAACTAGATATTAAAGATATAACAAAAAATGAGTTTTTCTTTCAAGTGGTAATTTCAACATGAGTTCTAACTTCTTTTTGATAAAATTATAAAAGTTTACAAAAATATCCAAGTTAAGTGTCTCACTTTGTATATATGAGTATAATTTATATTTCTATATATAATAAATAATTGAATGTATATGTTTATACATACATATAGGTATATGTATATACATATTATGTATATATAGTCGATAAGATATTTTTTTTGTATTTTACATAAGAAACTTTTATTGGTATATAATATATACCTCTCTCCACAATGTAACACAGTGACTGTCATGTTAATCCTAACTTTGATAAAGATCATATATAACGGTATATAGATAATTAAATACTTTTCTCTTGCAGTAGGATGTTACACCTTAATCTTCCCTCCAAAAATTAAATGTTATATTATTTGGAACGTTTTTTTTTCAATTATTCGTGCGAATAAATTGGATAAATATTTGCCGTCATAATTTCTACTCGAATTAGTAAGTTGACCTTTTTTTCTAATAAAAATATATTGATTTTAATCAGAAAAAAATTTAGTTGTATAAATTTAAAAGATTAATTAAGTTACATAATTTCGCTATAGAGGGAATTTATCTATAATGTCAATATATGGTCAATATATGTTATCGCACTTGCGCGAAGCGCATATAATATTTATGCTCTCAATAAACAAGTGTGTATTTATGTCTTGCCATTTATTTGATAAGATAGCATAAATACACATAAATTACGTTACATTTATCTTTTCATTCATTAGTTTTTTTCATTATATACATTTATTTTTTAATTTTGCAGCGAAAAAGTTGGAACTAAAATTAAATTAATGAATGACACTAATTAAATTAAATTAATTCTGAGATTCTATTTAATAAAACATAAAGCAACATTTTACAATATTCTAAGGTAATGTATGCTTACTTCACTATTTTTGTTCAATAATAACTCGAAATCGAATTTGATTTCCATTTTATATTTAGCACTGATTATACTGATTGTCTGATTTTAAGTTTTACTTGTTTTTGTTCAATATAAAATCGAAACCAATTTATATAAAATAAGAACAGCCGCGATTTTAAATGCATCATGATTAAGTATTTAAAGGCGGACATCGCATAAGATAGTACATGTAGTTTTATATAATATATAGAATATATAGAGGTTTTGAGAATCTTAGATTTTGAGAATCTTAGTGGATCAAAAAATGCATGGAAGATTTAAGAATGAAGGATTTAATGGATTTATAAAGATTTACAGAATATAAGATTCGCAAGAGATTAAGATCCAAGAAGAAAAAGTCCGTTGGTACATCTAAGGATTCGTAGGACAATATTAAAAAATGTAGAAGTCTGTTTTACCTTTCGCACCATCGTTGTCATAAGCAGGCATTCGTGAAATGAACTCTATCGCAAACTATTCGCGTTGTGATTCTATTGATAAAAATAACAATCAATATATCACTGACTTTCACCGAATTTTAGAATTCGATTTATTTAGATCAAAGTTTTATTCAGTACGGAGTATAATAGTGAACGCGATTAGATATTTTTAAAGATAACGATAATCAAGTTATATTTTTACTGCCCATCCATATAAAAATGCTAATCATGCGTTCGTATTCTACAACATTACTTAACTCTCTCATGTAAAGGAATATGTCATCGTCATTTATTCAATGATTTAAATATCATACGCTCTTTAACTTTAAAAAAAGCTTCATAAATCATGTTACATATTTTCTTCATTACCATATCTCGAAGTAAAAAGTCTAAACAAAAGAGACGATTAGTATTAAACCAGTATGTTTTGCTTTCTTATTTTTCTGTCTGCTCTACCTTATAAGACGCTTCTCTTAGAAGATCTTAAGTAATATATTAAGATTTGTATATGTTGCTTTTAATTTTTATGCGTAAAGTACTTTGGTTTAAAGTTATTTGAAGTACTTTGGAAGTGAGTCTTCATTTAACTTCCAAATGTATGAAAAGATTGTATCTTGTAACAGTATCAAGTGAACATAACTCGATATAACATCTATTTTTACTAATTTTGACTAGAAGAGTTTAATTCATATAGTTAGAACATGAGAGTGCGAATTTTGATCAACCGAGCACTTAAATAAGAATTAAAGGGCTTTGCAAAAACAATGTGAATAGGTAATTTGGTATAAGATCCAATTTAGATGTAACTTCATATTACAAGTGGACCTTATCCTGTGTGAATTTTTATCTCTCATTTTTGTACTGAAATCATCAATTAAAACCGAAGTGGTAAGATGCGCGCTTTCCTCGATCGAGATCATTTCCGAGAAAATGTTCCCATTAAATCATACATGTTCGCCGTTGTCGCTAGCGTTGCAGGTTTTGTTTTCTGGTAGGACCGTCGTTGCTGCCTGCGCAAGTGCCATGCCTAAGCAACCTGCTCGTACTCGGCCTTATTGATATTGCTGGCTAGGCAGCACGCTAAGAAGATACCGACTAATGGGAAAAAGGCTACGCCGATCGCCGTACCGGCCACCAGACCGATGTTGCTATTTATGAAGTCCAGCACGCGATTGTAGCATCCCTGAGGAAAGGAAGAGTGTAAAGAATTGTATAGAAACCGGAAGAACAGAAATCGAGAAGAGTCGGAAAACAAGGTAGATTTAACTCCTATTTCCTATATCAGTTTTTTTCTATCTTTTTTATCTATTACCTCTTATTTTAACTTTTATTGCATTCATTATCCCTCTTTTACCTTCTATCGCGGATTATAACTATCACACAATTGTCGTAATTAAGATAGTCAATCAAGTCTTGAAAGCCTTGCTTAACACGTTGTCTGCCCAGCGAGTTTTATACGTCTTGTCATGTACGCCACAATAGAATTTTCATTAAGTATATGATGATAAAATATTGCATGATGATTAAATAAAATTACATCCTCAGGTAGTGTGTTGAATCGCACACTTTTATTTTACATTATTATCTAGCTATTCACGTTATTCAAAATAGTTTTATATCAGATGGTAATTATTTTTCACAAAGATTTGAAAAAATTTTGTCGGTCACCAGTCGATCATCAAGGCGCTATTAAAAAGTGAGGCGTCGATCACGAATGACCACTGTGACAGTCAACGTGTTAATGGTTTGCTATTTTGTATTTTACTTATGTATTCTGATATTAAGGAATCTTGCAGGAATTTAGGCAGATAAGAAATAGAAAATGTATCGCCGTATACCTCGGTATAAATTTCATCTGGGTCCTGTGAATCGCATTTATCCTGGGCTACCTTGCAGCAGGACAAGGGAATGTCCTTCGGTGGATCCAGATTGAGCCAATCGGCATACCCGCGATTGCCGCAGCAGTGCAGCTGCAATCAATCAATTAAGCTTTTCAAATACGCAACGTAACGCAACTGCGTGTCACGGGGAGTGAAAAAAATAGGCAAGTTTTTCCCGTCTCTTACTTCGTCCTCCCGTATATTGAATATTGCGATTCGATTATCTGATCTCCAATTAATTCGGATAATCGACACGTTCAATTGGCAGAACAATTGGGATAATGTGAATTTGAACATTGTAGGGATACTCACCGTCTTTTGCATGCTATCGATGTTATTGCTCTTGGATTGGTCCTGTCCGTAGGCTGCCATGCTTTCGTTCAGACCTTGATCGAATCCCTCGTTCAGATTCGTGCGATAAGCGTAAACCGACGCGCCCGCGGCGAGTTCCAGCAATGCCACGACGGCCAGGAACGCGCCGTACTTCATGGAAAAAGAACGACAAGAATTATTTCTTGTAATCTACGGGGAATCTCTATTTCAAGGTATCTACAAAATTACTGTACAAATTACTGTAGCCAGAAGGCTGCTCGCACAAACTTTTGCGACGCGTCTTATCTATTCGCTAAACCGAATTTCCATTCAGCAATACCCAGCGCTTCCGTCGTAAAAGTCTTGGACGATTCCAAGTATCGAAAGAATTGTAATTTTACACATATTTAGGATATATTTTGTTAATATATAATACGTGTTATGAATGATCGTGCAGCGAGCACCATTTCTCTCAGTTGAGTATAGCTACTCTCCCCTTACGTAACGATATCGTATCGAATATCGGCTTGTAACTTCATCCGACCGTTCCCCGAGGGACCTGAAGCCCACTTATTCACGATCTATGATTCACGATGGATATTCTATTTATAATCTTACATAGAGCGCGCGTGTGGTGCATATATACAAAGAGACATACGCATTTATTCTGATGAGTATACGCAGAAAAAAAGGAAGTGGCAAATCAAGACTTATGAGAATACATTGCGCCGAACGAAGAAAACTTACTTGAATGGTCATTTATATAGTTCAAGAAAAAAAAGTTGAAATTCTTATCAGATTATATTATAGATTGTTGCGCATATACGAGTATATAATTTTTTACTTGAAACTTCTTTTTTTCTGTGTATTCTGTATATCCTGATCCTCCGCGCGCCATTCACCCGTATCATCAAATCGGACATTGGAATTTTTTCAATTCTCGTTGCGAATAAGCTCTAAAATAGAATCGAATGTTTACCAAATACAGTAGAGCAGGATGACCGCGCGCGGTGCAGCAACAGGCGAGGACCGCCGCGACCGCCAACACCGCTCCTAAGCTCGCGATGGCTAGCAAAGCGGCCCCGCTGCCCTGCGCGCTCATGTTCATGTAATCCCGCAGCTGGATGCGCATCCATATGCCGATGCACAGCATCAACACCCCAGACGCCTGTAAAACATACAAGCACACGACATTAAGGTCACTCGTCAAATGAAATTATTAATTGCGAAGTAATTCGGTCGAATTCGTTTTTTTTTTTTTAAATTGTGTGAGAACAGCTTGTATATATAAGCAAACAACTACGATTGCGCCACTGGTCTTAATAATAATTTATGTCTTTGACGCGTATAAGTAATTCCTAATAAAATTAAGATAAGTTTTCTTCGTGGTATATCTCCTTTATTGGAGTATAATACTATGCAAAATACTACATAAACATAATGTTTGAAGGTGCAATAATTTAGGAGAACATTAGTTTAATTTAAAGAGGATAGTATTGAACAAAACTGTGTTGCTATATATTATATATTGTTATATATATATAATATAAAAAAATTATAATATATTATATATAAAATATATAAACAAACGACTACGATTGTTCCATTGGTTTTAACAAAAACTTATATATCTTTGGCGAGTATAGGTTTCTAATGAATTAAAGATAAATTTTCTTCGTGGTATATCTCCTTTATTGGAGCATAATATCGTGCAAAGTGACGTATGAACGCAATGTTAGAAAATGCAATAACTTAGGAGGACGTTAGTTTAAAGAGTAAGATTGTATCGAAAAACTGTTATCTAGTAAACATCGGTTTCGTGACAACGGTCGCACTTTTAAACTGAAAGAGAAGTAACGGTCACTAATATTAGAAGCGATAACAGTCCCGTATGTACTCACATACTTATGAACGTGCGGTTTGATAAGCCATGTAATTAACGCGCTTGAAAATTCTGAACTGATTTGAAGGTTCAAGGATAAATACGAATGGTGGAAATGTACAGATTGTCGCAACGTCACACACACATAGTTCTCACCGCGAATCAAATAAGGAATTACATAATAAAATATTTTTATTTGATTATATTTATATATAATTAAATAGAAATATATATTATATATATTTTTTATTAAATTATAACGTGAAAATCTGTATATTTCCACTATTATACAATATACACACACTTTTGTGACGCCCTGCAATTTTCTAAAATTCCATATATTCTTAAATACATCTTAGATCTCCAAATAGTTTGAATTTTTAACATTATAATGATATTAATGAGTTTTTTTTATTAGAGTTCCGTGTTATCTGGATATCATATTCAAGGTCACGTTCATCCATCGCATTTACCGCCTCGCACTCATTCCCCAGTTACTTGACCCTATTTCGAATCGAGACGCTTAAAGACGTCGTCAATACATCATTATTATGCATATTTCCCTGAATAGATTTAACTATAAACTATATTATAGTGTCCGATATTATAATGGAATCTAATCAATTGCGCAACAGATGGGTAGGAGTCCAGGATGCGGTGGATAAGGAGTTTCCGTGCTCATTATACGCAGGCGATGTTGGGACTTCGGTGATCCTGGCTTACCCAGAAGATGAAATTGAAGAGCATCAACAGGGTCTTCATGCAGGTCATCGTAGCAACGGTCTCCAGTCGCTTGCTCATCTTGAGATGTGTTGCTTCCTCTTCTCTGACTCGCTTGCGAAAAAAACCCTCCTCGATACGGGGTACGGGTTATTACGCACTACCAGGTCTCAACTCGGGCAACGAGCGGAGTTCGCGCGATCGATTTGCGAGAGGATTTGCGAATACACATACGTGTTGCGTGCGTGGCTCCTGCCCCTCTCTCAACCGGTGCATGCGCGCTACCCCGAGAGGACACGATGGCGATGGTGGGAACTCCCCTTTATCGGAACACAATTTTCCATGTAACGGCGGCAAGTGCACCGCGAACGTCAAAATAAATGTCATTCTTAGAGTCTCTCTTCCTGAGAGACGTTTGTCAGGCGTTTCCGTCGGATTGAAATATTGAATATCATGGTGACAATCTCCTTTATTGGAATAACCAGCGAATACATCACAGATGACATGAATATTCGATAAAATATTTATATAAATAGTCTAGAAAGGTTTTACTTTAGGTTTTTTAATATTTTGTTTGGAATTTTGCATTAAAAGATTAAGAACGTTATGACAAAAATTTCAAACAAAGAGCTGCCATATTGTTAAAGGTGCAAGATGTTAACAGTGTGCACGATTTTTTAATTATTTACAATAATTTCACGAAAAAGTTACAGATGAAATTAATTACTTTTCGACTAATAATAAAATGTAATGATGAGAAGTTTCGTAATATCTTTTTTTTTTTTTAATTACTTATTTAATCTTTTTCATATCCAGTCGAATATGAAATATATATTCTAGCTAGCATGTTTAAAAAATTAAATCACTGGGAAATATTAAGCCATTAAAATCAAATAAGACTCATTTGAAAGGGGTTTGCTTAAGCTTTAATAAAAAAAATATTGTAATAAATACAAAATAATATAAAAAAGTATTTGTAATAATCCGGGACGGAATTTTTTATATATAATTATACATAAAATCTGTCCATATGTTTTCTTTCTTTTGTTCGTAATCTCTGTTTGTATATACAAGAAAACTAAGAATAATAATTGGAAAATAATTAGAAAAACATCTTTTGCATTGTTTTTTTTTTACAAAAAATAAAAATTGTGATAATATATAACACACATCGTTTCTATTCTATCAATATATTTTGTTATATTTTTTATTTTATTAAAAGAGGATATTATTATAAGTTAATCAAACATTTTTCCTTTTAAAAAGTCGTTTTGAATAAATGATAATCTGTGGATGACAAATCAAGAGAATAAGGAAAATACTGAAGAACTTCATACGTCATATCTGCTAATTTTTTTACAGTCTGTTTTATAATGTATTGTGTGGTCGAGCATTGTCGTGAAACAATAACACACTGCATCTATTTAGTATCATATTTTGATCAAGAAAGTATGTATTAAGTTTGTAATATAAACGTTTTAAATGAAAAATGAAATATCGCTATTTTATTTGTAACAACCTAATATTATATATATATAATAATTATACTTAATATGTATTATGTTCCTCCTTTCACAAAAAATATCGGATATAGAAGAATATTGAAGAAAAAAATTTTTTGCAGAGATAAAATTAGTAGAAAGAACATAAAGAAAACACGTACATATTTTACTTTGGTATTAGAAAATAAACACATCTATTTTAATCGATATAAAGCACATCAATATAAGTTGCCATTATATTTTATAAAATTAGGCGATTCATTGATCAAAACGCTTACGCATTTATGCACAAATTTGTCCGCTCAACTAATTTTATTGATCCTTCGGAGGGTTGCTGGCAACGTCGAAGTTGTTGGTGTAATTCAAAAGAACTCCCGGCCAAATGACATTGTTTTCGCCGATGACTGACGATTGCCGCAGGTTCTTGGATGATCGTTTAGTTTTTCGGAACGAGTGAAACCTGTTCGGTCTCTCCTGACCTTTTGACCGGTTTTCCTGATCCTCCTTATTCACCTTATCTTTTAAATTATCCAAAAATATCACGTTGTTGTTCTCCGTCTGTCTCCCATCTTTTCCACGATTATCTTCATCAGTAGAACGAGAATGCCACTCGTCTCTTCCTCGGTTATCTATTAGATTCAAGTCAAGTTTAGATAGATCCACGATTGGCCAGGCATTTTGCGTCCTTCTGTTGTCTTCCCGTTCAGCAACAGTATCTGAGATATTGTTAGTCTCTTCGGAGAATAATTTGTTAGAAATCGAATCGTTGAGCGAGTTGACGTCCCACTCAACCTGCTCCTCGCTGCTGATGGACGCACTGTCCTGATTCTCATTTTGGTCCCTCTTGTCGTTTCTGATATCACCGATAGTCTTGAAGTAGATGCTATGGTCGTACCGGTATGTTTCTAGGCAGTTGCTATCCAGCTTACCGCTTGACTGGTAATTGAAGGTGCCGCAGCAATTAATCTTGATCTCCTCCGAACCCGATTTCCATTTCGATCGTTTGAGACTGTGAAATCGCGGTGGCGTTTCGTCGGCAGACACGCCCCAGGATTCTTGGATCGTTTGCCGATTCTTGAACCACCTGATTTATTTTTGTTTAAATTAAAAACGTCTCTTTTTGTACGTATTGTTTGTACATAGTTGTTCATGCATTATATTAAAGAAGGACAGGAGGTGTAGTCAAATTAAAGACAAAATTTGCATATTTATTTCAGGGAGAGATTTAAAGGACATAGTTTTCCGTCTGGTCTCTCTTTCTCACCTTTGCGACCGAAGACGATTGTAACCACGTGCAAAGGCCGCCCATCTCTCAATCCTCTGGAAAACGTACTCCGTTTCCTCGCTCCACCACTCCGACAGACCTTTTTGAACCATCGTCTCCCTGTTCTCCGCCATGGTAGTCATTCTGATGTAAACGAGAATGAGAATTGGAAGAGCTATACACAATTATTCGTGTAGGAGTTGCTATTTGATGCCCGAACAGACAGTCAGTAGTTCTACAACTGTAAAAGTTATTCGGTGCGATGGGTAAACCGCGCGGGGATCAATTTATAAGACTCGCAGGAAGCACCTCAAACGCGGAAGCCGTTGATGATAGTGGCCGTGACCTCGCATGATCGTGCAACGTTTTCACCACGCTAATCACATCGCTTGAAAACACATCGCGAAAAATTAGTATACCATCTTGACACAAATTTGATAAAATAAACTTATATTTATGTTTTATTACAGTTTTGGTAAGCAATTATATAGCAAATATTTCAATTTGTGAGGATAAAAATAAAATATAAAAATTAATCACAACTGAGAATGCAATAAAATAGTATTAAAGTTAGTTGGAAAGTAAAAAATAAGAAAGAGGTTTTATTATTTATTTAGAAAGTTATTTTGTTAAAAGCTTTTTATACATTCTTTATTTGTTCTATAGAATTAAAAGTAAATCCTTTTAAGGAAAAAGATTACAAAGATTTTTTGTAAGTGAAGCTTTAAAAGACCAAATAAATAATGAAGACACCCCATGTTCCTCAATTTATTTTGCACTTTACTTTTATAGAATTTTAATTTCAAGCTCTCAGCTACGCTATATTTTTTTAAGAAAAATATATCAGTAAATCTGTAATTAGAAAGTAATGAGAGAGATAGAAACAAAACAGTTCTTTTTTTAAATTAATTATTTTAATTCTAATTTGTTAAATTATATTTTTAAAATTGTTTATTGCGTGCAACGATAATTAAAACTTTTGTATTGAAACGTTTTGTCTTACGTAATATCTTGGACAATTGCACTCACTCTTCTCGTCAGTATTTATTTTTTTTTTAATCAGACAATCGGCAGCTAAGTAAAAATAACTCGCGGCCGACAGAAGGGTACGCTTGTTCGCGTCGTTATTTATCAGCGGGTGCTGCCCACACTTCCTCTCGCTGAAGAGGATTTTAACGACTGATTTTTCTTACGAGCGCCGCAGAAAGGAAATAGAAAAGCCAAGACGTGACATCGGTAATGCGTTTACCCGGTGCCCTGCCAATCATCGACGCGTAACATCGCGGAATATTGAGTGGTCGATGGCGGAAGTGGCTCGCCAGAGAGACGGAAGAAAATTGTTTATCAGTACTCGCGCGGCGTTACGTGAATTAAAATTCAACGCCATCCCCCGCGCGTTTTTCACCCCCGCGCGATTTTTCCAGCCCCCAGGAGGGGGAAGGATGAACGAAGTCGTATATAAAAGCCACCGCTCCGCTTATCGTACACTCCATCGGCCGATTTCCCCGACATCCGGTAACACGCAGGTAAGCGGATGTTTCGAAAACACTAAATATCTCACTAAACGTCTTATCACATATCCGCAACTTTCTCGTAGATTATTTTCGCGGATAAGTTCATCGAGCCATTTGCTGTTATATCTCTCGTACAAGCTTCGTTATAGTTCGTTCGATCGTTAACACGTATTATCTATATTTTTAAAAAGTTAACAACATTATCGAATCTTTCTTTCTTCGTGTTTACTTATTTTTAATCAATTTTCTGTTATCGACAGATACGGTCGTGTCAAGTCAAACAGTAAAGTAGACTGTGTATATAATATTAAATGTGAGAAGGTTTTAAAGTATATAATGTTCTAAAACATAAAATAAATGGCCCACTAATCTTAGCTTTTTTCACTAATTTAGAAATCATTTTTCTTTATCAAAAATATTATTTATATTTATGAATTGCATATTTATTTTATAAATGCCCGAATGAGATTTAAACTTCTTGAGTACTTTCTGATAGACAAGCACAAGAAAAACTTTAGTCAAGATATTCAATATCAAAGTATAGAAATATTAGTTTTATTTATTATCTGTAATCATCATTTGTGTATCTGTATACAATCACGAATATATTTAATCATTGTGCAAGTAACTGCGTTTGTATATCTAAGTACACTTTATTATCTTTAATAACAAATTTTTGTGTTTTATTATTTTTAATAACACTGATGTATGTTGATATATTGTGAAGTATAATATAAAATATATGTTTCTTTAATGAAAAAAGAACGTATTTACATATTTCCAAATTTCTGCTGTGCATTAGTAATATTTTGATCGACAATTATAATAAAATGAACTAATTAAAACTAATAGATTTTAGGATATAAAAATCAAATAGTTTGACTTGTAGCGTTTGAAAGTACTTGTGCTTCAGTTTCATGAATTTAATTCGATGAATTTCATAATAAATGAAGAACACATCATTATGCAACTATCATTACTGCTGTTACAAGAAAAAATAGATATCCTACATTCAGCAACGATCTATGTGTCTGCACGTTTAACAAAGATTTGCTAGAAGACAAAAAATTGATGAATTTATGATTACAGATATGAATCCAACTCTTGCGCTGTCCTGCATGATCGCGATCATGTTGTTCTGCGGAAGATGTGAAGCAGCTCCTGGATTAATCACTGGCGTCCATCGCAATTTAGGAAAGCATCCACATATCCGCGGGTAATTGCCGTGCTATGTATAAGCAAGTACATATGTACAAAATAAAGCTAGAAAAAATGGATGATAAAATGAGATATCGCGCGTTGTAATTCCACACTATTATTGAGAAATTAACAGTGATATTCTGGCGTGGCTATGCCGCAGATACGCCGTGGAAGGCCTCATGAAGGACCTCGTGGAAGATCTCGTCGGTGAAGACGAGGACAATTTGCGACTCAGCAAGCGCCAGCAGCTGGACGATTACGGTCACCTGAGATTCGGCAAGCGGTCCAACGGCGACGACGAAGAGTACGGGCATCCGTACGGTCGATATTTGCGATTTGGCAGAAATATCGAGTAAAACGCTATCATTCCGGATTTCTCTACGTCGTAGATCGTGATCGTTCACTCGTGCTAGATGTAGATAGAATATATTTTACATTGCAGCTATTACGATCATGTCTCGTTATTCTTGGAAGTTCTCCTCTACCTTCTCCATCATCGGTCTTTATGCCGCGCGAATTAATCTGCGCTTTTCAAAAGTACGCTGGTAATCTAATATTAACCTCGGATTTAATTTTGTAGCTTTGCCATTATATTTCCTTAGGAAATTACAACACAACGTTTTTATTTACTGTAAAAATAGATCAACTTTATAAAAATGCCTTGGAAAGAATTAAACGAACATTATGAAAAAATCTGACAAAAATTGTAACATCTTTTATGTATTAAAATATATTGAAACTGAAACACAATGAAGTGTAAATAAAATCAACTCCTACTCGCCAAAGAAATGTTCTGTTATATACTTCTTACATATCTTATTTTTATGAATAAAAGGATAATTTTACATATTGTTCTTATTATCCCCAATTTATTTAAAATATTCCAACTTATTGTTAGATTTATCTAACACTTCAAATAATTTTGTAATAAATAATTTCTCCTTTTACTTTAGTGCTCGCATAAATAATCTATTTTATAAAGCAAAAATATATATATGTAACTTTTCAATCGTTAATAGGATTTTGCTGGTTTTTATTATTTAATAGAATCTCATACAGTTTTCCCCTTTGCATTTTCAGCTCTGCTATTCTTTGATGAAGATCCATATTATCGTCTAAAAACGTGTGGTACCCGCAACGATTTTCCAAATCTTGAAGATTGTAGCCAATGGTGCGTCGATTTAGCAACCACGGCTCCGGTAGTGGTGGTGATGGTGGTGGTCTCGGTTTCGGAGGATGAGGTGACCGATAATCGCTGTTCGTGGTGGTGCGATAATTCATCTGACAAATGACCATGGGATCCAGAAGGATGTCCGTTAATTTTAATACCTTTTCCTCGTAATCTTTTCTAAAAAACATTGAATTATCACCTTGGAGGTACATCAAAACTTGATCGAAAAATTTGTGTTAATTAATTATTTAAAAATATAATCTTATACCTCTTTCAAAATATATAACATTTGTTACATATTAAGTGTAGGTATACACAATTTTTTAACAAATTGTTATATTCTAATATTGGTATAATAACAATAATCTTACAATTAATATTGATAATATAACTAATAATTTAATATTAAATAATAAAATAAAAATAAAAAATGATATTAAGAACAGGGAGATTTTGCGGTTTCTTTATGTCGAAAAGATAAAAAGACAAATTGAAAAATTCTAAATTATTATATTAACTTTTCTCGATTCCGAAAATAAAAATTTTATTTTTACAGAATAATTTTTTTTTTATAGGTACAGTTTGCCTGGGATATTTTTGGGATATAAGTGAGAAATACGTACTCCGCCGAAGCGAGCGACTGCATCGTGAGTAAACTACGTCGTGGATAAGTAACTGGCTTGTACTCGTCTTTTAGTTTAATTTGCGACTGCATGGCACGTGTCTCCGAAATTCCAGTGACTTCGTCCTCCGGACCGAGTCTCCGATACGAGGACTTGTGTAGATTCCCGGTCGGTGGAAATATGTCCGCATTGTCTCTAGGCTCCGATAAGATTTTCATTTGCCTGTTAATTAGATCAAGCGAAATCGTTCAGAAACAAATCTTGAATTTCATTTAAATGTACCAGTTTTATATTATCGACCTGAATTCAACTTACTAATAGTATTTAGTACTAATAGAATTTACTTTACTTTTATCCTTAGAAACAATTATCACTTCATTTTTAATTGAATAACGGGAGTAAAAAAGAAATATAAGTATATTACTCACTTTTTCTATTTCTTTCGACAACAATAAAGATTTATCTTGATGCAAAGTTATATCTTTTAAATAATAATTAACAGCATACTAATTAATAAAATATTACACGATTGCTTGCACTCTATGTCAAAGAATGATACGTAATACAAAAACGTGAATATTCTTTGATACTTTTAAGGTGCAATAAGGTGAAATAAAGCACGATACTATATACGTTGCTAAGATTAACAACAGTTTTCTCCACGGTAACTACTCCCCCACATTTCCTTATATAAATGTATGTGATATGCTTGCGTGTATACAATTCTTTCACGATTTATCTATGCAATAACAGCACATACATCATTATTTATAAAATGAATATATGTATAGTAAAAGATTGAAACGGGAAAACAGATTCTCGTACGTGAAAGTTTTTTGTTACAGAATAAGAGTTAAGAATATTATATAGAAAAGAAATGTATAAAAAAAGTCAAAATCTTTCTACAATAAACATTAAATAATGTAACTATTTATATTAATATTTACATGGTTTAATGTTCAATATTGTTAAGAATTAAATCTTAAATATTTCAACTAAATAAAGTATTGTTAAATAAATAATCAAGCACAAAATACTTGGCACATATAACGTCTTTGAAGTATCAACAAATGTTTTAATTATTGAATATTTATTGCGTTTTCGATTTATTCTATTAAATAAACGTAGATCGCAGTACTAACCAATCGTGGATTTTGACTTTATCGCTATACACTGCTGGAATATGAAATATGATAGGTCCAATATTTTCGTCTTCATCATTATAAGATGCAATAGTCTGTAATAAAAAAGATTTAGGAAAATATTTAGGAAAACTTTCTATCTAAAATAAATATAATTTATATCTAAAACATATGTGTGTAAATCGATATAGCCTTACGTTTATTTTTCTTTTCTTCAGCATTTTGTATTTTACGTGTATATGTGTATTTCCTTCTCGTAAATTAAATGTAGAAAGCTTTTGACTATAGAAGTACAAAAGCAGAAAGAGTTTATTAATCGATACTCATTAAATATCTATAAAAGCGTAATAGCACAACCTACTTTCTATTACGTCATTTTATACTATCACGTGAATATAGTATTATAACACAGATATTTTCCATGTATTTCTCTTTTGTTTTTCAATTTTTTAATGCAAAAAGCAATAAGATCCAATTTATGCTATTATTATTAGATAAAGATAAATTATATAGTTAATAGTACATACACACTCTCACGCACACATATATATACAATAAATATCAAATATTATCATTAATTGCATAGACATATAAATAATAACATGGAATACAAAGTCAGAGAATTAGATATGCAAGCGCTACAGGAAGAAATTTTACGCAAGTGTAGAAAAAAGACAGAACCTTTAGCTCTTTCTGACGAAACGGAAGATGATGAGCATAAAGAAGATGTACATGATGAGGAAGATGTAGTCTCGATAGAAACTGAGAAAACTACAGACGAGGAATTACCATTTGAGGATATATTGGCTGAAAAACGCCGCAAATATACGGCTAAAGAAGAATTCATCTACTCATTATACAACAATATACTTCCAGCTTTTGTAGCTAAGTAAACTAACTCTATATTTTAAAAATTATTATTATATTATTAATTTATTATTAAATTATTGTTATTATATTATCAATTTAATTTGATCAATATAGATGGGATGGATATTTCTTGCGTCGGGAACGGTTTACAAAGAAATATGATCAGGACGATGCTGAAACTATAGAGGAAAAGGACGAAATAGGTCATCATAACAAAAATGATTATTCGTTTATCGAAGATGAAGAGAAAGAAAAAGATAAATCAATATCCGTCCCATCGTGGAAGCTTTCAATGCCGGATGAATTTGCCGACATAAAGTTTTACAATAATAATTCTTATTGCGGTCGCGTCAGTAGGAAAATGATGGAAGGCGATGGAACGTATGTATGGGATAATGGCGTTCAATATAAGGTATTAATCAAAATATATAAATCATAATTAATATATGTAATGTAAGTGAAAAAAATATGCATAATTATATAGCAAGTATATATAACACACAAATATTATTTAAGAAATATATTTTAAATTTTTTTTAATGTAACGGCAAAATTTTTAAATTAAATCGATATAATTTTTTTACTCTGTAAAATATTACGTCTAAATTAGTAAAAATAAATGAGAAAAATTATGCAGGGTCAATTCGAGCATAATAAAATTCAAGGGAAAGGTATCTTGAAGTGGAACGATAATTGTTGGTACGAAGGTAACTTTGTAGATGGTCTTCGACATGGCAAAGGTATCTTGGTGAACAGAGAAAACAATCGCATGTACGTCGGTCAGTGGTGCATGGGCCACATGCATGGAAAGGGGTTAAATGTTGGCACATAAATATTTGTCATGTCACAGTATTTAATATTATTAATTTATCTTGAGACATAAATTTGATTTCCTATATTATTATCTAATTGGAATTATGACGACTGAGGTACCGTAATGCACTTGAAACATATCATGCGTATAAAATATAGATAAATAATAAAAATAGTAAAAAGAAAAATAAAATTATGGTTTAAGTTATGTTATATGTCTAAATTTTTTGTTTATAATAAAAATTCTTCAATAATCATTGCAGTATGTATATATATCGATTTCTTGTAAAGTTTTGTTTGAGAGCAAAAATTCCAGTTCGAGTGAATATAATTACTTACATCCGCACCGAACATTTTTCCTCTCTACAAGTACAAGAGAGAGAGAACCTTTTTCTCCTAGCGAGTATGGTCGGCCGCTAGAAAAAAAAAGGGAGAACTCAATGCATATATATATGTGTAATTTAACTTTGCTATATTAGAACAGGACGGTATAATTTATGCTTCCACATGATTATACGTACATTTTATATGTGTGTAGTATCTCATTTGGCGGTTTATTGAGCGCCTCATTAATTAATCCGAATCCTGGGAGTTTTTATTTTTAATTTTCCTTTTTTTAGTTTTATAGCTTCTTGAAATTTTTACATTATAGAATTTTAACATTTTGGAAGTTTCAATTTGTATAATTTAACCTAAAAGAGAAAGAAATTAGTATTGTTTAATAGAGAATAAAAATTTGATGCCTCGTAACTTACTCCGACTTTACTCTCTCCCTCACTACTCTGTAAACACTCTGTAACGGAGTAGAGTTTTAAAACGCAGGTAAATTATACGTTTTCCACGTTACGCTTGTCAAACGCGATTGTCAAAAGAGAGTTGACGACGACAGACAAACTTTTAACTTTTTTGGCGACAGCCAAAATAATTAACTGGCAATCAGCAATAATAACCCTTTTCAACTAGGTAGCAGTTTTGCCATATCGTTTGCGACGTATTGTAGAGCCGGCTTGAGTTTAGACAATTTCCTGATTCGTTGTGGACAAGCGCGACGCTGAACCAATGAACGCGCCCGCCGCTGCCCGCCGTCGATGAGCGGCGATTGGCGGACGTGCGAGCCAATGGTGCCAATCGGATCCCGCTCGCGCTCGGCTGTGCTAGCACTGCTAGCAGAAGGATTTCAATATCGACGCGCACTAGACGCTTTCGCGGTCGTCGCGTAGTGTGTGCGAGAGAAGCAAAAAGCGGCGTTTATTCGCGTGAGAAATCACCCTCCACGGGGCTAGGCAGACACGGCTTCTCGGCGACGTTCGACCGACGAGGAATCACGATGTCGGACGCGATGGTGGACGAACGGTAACTATCGTTGACGGTCGTCGATAATTTAATGCGAGCCTGACTATCGGCTCCCCCCTCGGAATTCGCGACGTTACTTCGATCGAGTAAAGTCGCTTTCGGGCCCCCCTGAAATATTATTCTCGGGGCCTCCGAGTGTTCTATCGATTTCTTTCTTTTTCTTCAGTCTACGTGCAATATGTATCACCTGACGATTTCGTTTACCCGTCTCGCTTTGTCGCGATTTGCGACATATGTTTTCGCGAACTCATCACCATTAACATAATTATTCTATATTTATTGCCATCCTTTTGTCAGAATTGTCTCGATAACGTTTATTCCATTTGAACGATACTGCGAAACGCAAATTGAAATATTGTACGTAAGAAAGAAAGAGATGGAAACATCTGTTAATTTTTTATTGGTCTAAAGACTCTAAAGATGCATGTTATTGAACGTATGTTTTTTACAAATCCAAAGTGACATGTTTTATTTCTTCTCGAGCTTCTATATATTTAATTGTAAGAATAGAGTTTAATCAATTAGTTCAGTTATTCTAAGTTAGTAAGGCTGTATTCAAGTACGGTTGTTTTAATATTTACAATGATTTTTGCAGGGTGACTGATGAGATCGAGGCATTGAAAGCAATTCTATTGGATAACGAGCTCAACATCAAGGAAAATGATAGGTATATATATATATATATATATTTACAGGATACCCCAGAATTTTCACGTACATGGAACGCATAATATGATTTTCTATGTCAAAAGAAGTAAGAAAGTATCATTTGAATGCAATTTTGCCAGAAAAAGAAGTTACTCTTTCCGACAGAATCATACTTTTCTACATAGGTGAATACCGAGTTTGTATATTGGAGAGTATATTTTTATTCCTGATAATATTGCTAAAATATTAGTGTATATGTAAGAACTGAAAAAGTGAAAACTGCCCCCATAAGAAAGTGCAATGATTATTATAGTATATTGGTTATATTTGTTATAAGATTGTAAGGAATTTCTATCCATTAATAATAGATATCTTTTTAATCATCTTACTTTTCTAAATAACCGTTGTTTTATACAGAGAGAGAAACGTACATATAAATTTTTATATATTTTAATTAAACAACTCTTGTATTTTATTATTATGTATTTGTTACTTTCTCACATATATTTTAATATAAAAATATTAATATTTTATAGCTTACAACATTTAATTTGTTTAATGTAATTAAAACATCTAAAATAATTCAAATTAGAATAGAAATACAGCATTTGATATATTTAAATTAACGCATTGTATGCAGCACAGATTAATTTAAGCTCGAGTGTCAAAGATTTTTTTCTTTGCCTACGAAGAATAAAAATTTGGTAAAAATTTGATAGAAAATTTCTTATTAAATATGTAACATATATTTATTAGCTAATAGTTAAAGGTTTAACAATACTAGACATATAAAACAAAAGTTTAACAATACTAAACGTACAAGATAAAAACTTGGATAATTAATATTTTTGTTATGTATATAATATTTTTTCAGTTATAAATCGAGCTTTGTTTCTTTACTAGCTGAGCCAACTTCGTAAAGCGTACTTAAATTGTTTTACGAAGCCAGAAATTTATGTTGATTTCTGTTTTTTCATATTTATTGAAAGCCTGTCTATATTATCACATTCTGTGCGTGGAATTGGAAGCAAAAATTAATTTAATTAGGCATCCTGTCTCAAACGCATGATTAATCCTGTTGTATGGCGGTGTCAGCATACAATATGTTAATTATAATTTTGCTACATTAAATATCCGGCTGGTTTCAAACTCACACGGTTAACTAGATAATTTACAATTTTATCGGACTTTTTTCTGACTTGTTTTTAATTATGTCTATCTAGAGGCGAGCCAGAATGTATCGAGACGATACTGTTTCCATCAACCGGCGAGGATTCGCAATCACAATATGTTTGTGTCACATTGATTGTACGATTACCCTCGGGTTATCCCGACGTCTCGCCGACTATCAATCTGAGAAACCCAAGAGGATTGGACGAGGATACGGTAAAGCTGATGCAATCCGATGCTGAGGCCAAATGCAAGGATTTCATAGGTCAGCCAGTCATGTTCGAATTAATTGAGGTAAGGACTTATTCTTCAATTTCTTTTTTAAAATGATTTTACTCTTTTTTATAACCACTTTGTAGAAAAATGATAACGGATTCATCTGTTAGTGTCTAGAATTCACATAATTTATGTTCGTGTTTATACATATGTATTAATTTATTATTTCTGAAACGGATAACATTGTCAAACTACAATAAGCTCATATTCTTATGAGCTACTCTTTCTTATTATATACTACCTTGATCAAAAAGTTCCCGGAATTTATTTAGAAAATGCAAAATACAAGTTTATTCATCAATATTAATATTGTCCCCTTCGAAGTACCCCCCATCGACTGCAACGCAGTTATGCCAGCGCTTGATCCAATCCTCGAAACATTTTTTATACTCGGT